CCCCTTCCCCCTGGCCCCCACATATATATCTCTCTATACATGTATATACAGGCGCACACATGCACGCACACACAGAGAGGCCCGTGCAATTTCCATGGAGAATGGGGAAAGGGTGGCGAAGAAAAGGTGGACAGGGAGTAGGAGAGGGGCTTGTGGGGACAGGGAAAGGGTTCAGATGCCAAGAGCACAGCAACCAGTGCCAAACAAAGCAAACGGAGAGAATACCCTACCCCCTTCCCGAAACCCAGAGGGTGAGAGAGAAAGGGGTCACCCCATGAAACCATAACAACCTTGTTTTTGTTTTAAATCCAGTAAATTGGAATGACTCATCATCAGGACAGCAATTGGGGACTGGTCATATCAGTGGACAGGGGAGAGGGAAGGCAGGGGAGAGGCAAGGCTCTTGTAGGGCATGCGGACATGATACCCAGGCCCTGGCCATACTTGCAATAGGGAGAAAGGGGAAGGGCTGGGGTAGGGAAACAGTAGGTACGACAGGGGTGGGCGGGGCGCTCGGATAGGGCTGCCTGGCTCTCACTTCTTGTTTTTGAGCTGATTGGCCAGCCAGTCCAGGCCTTCATACAGCCCGTCCCCACTGGTGGCACAGGTGGCCTGAATGTACCAGTTGCGGTGACGAAGGGAATGCAGGCCCAGCTTGTCTGTGATCTCAGCAGCATTCATAGCATTAGGCAGATCCTGGAGTGCGAGGGAGACACACAAAAAGAAGCCTCAGGATTTTTCAAAGGCTTCTAGAACACCCATCTACCAAAGAAACATGTACCAGTACCTTCTCCTCTTCCTTTCTTTTAGGACGCCCAGACCAAGATCCTAAGGAGCTACTTTGGATTTAGTCACCCTAGAACCCCAAATCCAAGGCCACTAGAGGTCATTCCACTGAGCAGTTGGAAACCAAATATGGAGTTGGTAGGGAAGTAGAGAGGTGATTCAGACTGACCATAAGAATCAGGTCTGAGCCGGGCTCGGTGGCTCAGCCTGTAATCCCGTGCCTTTGGGAGGCTGAGGTGAGTAGATTGCCTGAGCCCACGGGTTCGAGACCCGCCTGGGCGGCGAAACCCCATCTCTACAATAAATCAAAAAATCAGCCGGGCGTGGTAGCGCATGCCTGTAATTCCGGCTACTTGGAAGGCTGAGGCAGAAGGATCGCCGGAGCCCAGCAGGTCGAGGCTGCGGTGGTCGGGAGCGGCCACTGCACTCCAGTCTGGGCGACAGAGTGAGACTCAAACTCAAAAAAAAAGAATCAGGTATGTCTGACAGCAGGAGTGAGGGCAGTTCTACTAAAGTAGATAATAGTGACGATAAAAGAAAGATCTGAGGTGCCGTATCTACCACACCAATCGCTGAGGACTGAAAAGTTGCTATGTAAAGCTGGGGTGGGAGATAAGAAGAGGGGCATAAAGAAACCAACTGCTCGCATTTCCCACATTTCCAAAAGTGAAAGCATAAGACAAGGCTTCCTATACAGTGAGCCCAAGACTCCATGATTTCCACAGCCAGGTTGCCCTTTCCCAGATTCAGGGGTGGGAAGAAGTCTCACCTGTTTGTTTGCAAAGACAAGGAGCACAGCATCCCGGAGCTCGTCCTCTGCCAGCATCCTCATCAGCTCTTCCCGGGCCTCATTTACTCGCTCCCGATCATTGCTGTCCACCACAAATATCAACCCTGGGGAGGCAGAGCGTGGGCTGCACAGAGATGACAATCCCCTCCTCCACCCTCAGAAGACACCCTCTCACACCTTCCAAATATTTGCTCCCTTTCCTCCTTTTCTCCCAGTCAGGAGCTACAGCGGGGTAAGCGTTGGCTGCTCATAAACAAGGAAGATAGCCACTCTCTGCTCATACCCAACCAAGCCATGCCAGTCCTTAGAAAGTTCATCTGCCGGGCTCGGTGGCTCAGCCTGTAATCCCGCGCCTTTGGGAGGCTGAGGTGAGTGGATTGCCTGAGCCCGCGGGTTCGAGACCCGCCTGGGCAGCGAGACCTCATCTCTACAATAAATCAAAAAATCAGCCGGGCATGGTAGCGCATGCCTGTAATTCCGGCTTG